GCTAAAACGTGGAAGCTTGTCCCCAGGAGAGGGACGTGCATGGGAGGGTTGGCCACTCTCCTGCTGTGTTATAAATCTGTTGACTTAAATATGCACAAAACCTTGCTCAAAATAAAGAGCCATCTATTTGGTCATGGAGGATGCTGTCAAATCCTTACCATCTGCAAGACCATGAGCACCATGTTATTGATCCAATCCATGGACCAAGTATCAAAGCAGCAGCAAGGAAGGAGACCACCTGGGAGCCACTGCCCCAGGCCCTCTCCTCAGAGGCCAGGATGCTGCTGCAGCCCACCTGCCTGAGCATGTGCCGTGCAGTAGTGCAGAGCCACAGCCAGAGAAGCTGGCTCCAGAGGAAACACGTCAGCCATGGACATTCTCCAAGTAAAAGATCCGGTGGGTCCAGGGAGAACGTCTGCCTTTCAGAGCATGAAGAATTAAATTATTTTTCTTTCGTCCACCCCTCTGAAGTTTTTAAAGCATGTTCACATGTTATGGGAAATACTGTCCTCCAGCCCTGTCTTAGTCCGAGCCCTGGCTTGGGCTGCTGTAACAAAATGCCACAGACTGGGTAATTTATGAACAACAGAAATCTATTGGCAGCTTGATCAGAACTTTTGTCTTGCTGTCACCTTTCATGTCTCTTGTCCCTTCATTCCTCCCCATCTAGGTTCGCTGCCCATGTTGATGTGTCCTGCCGGAAGGGACAAGAAGCCACTTGAAGAGCCTCTACATGAACTTCCAGACGTCCTTGAAGAGGAAGACAAATGAGATCCAAGAGATTTCTGAGTGGGTGGGGGTTCTTCACCTGCCCCATCCCACAGGTCCTCCCTCTGGCCACTCTCCATCTCTTGTCACCCCTACCTGTTTGAGTCACCGGGAGTGTGTCTGGGTCTCTGGGAGTGGAATGGGTGTTCCTGGGTGCACCTCCTTCCCTTCACGCTTCCCCGCACCCTGCCGGAGGTGAGGCTGTGACCACCTGCTGGCTTGTGTCCTAACCACCTTGTCCCTCATGAAGAAAGTCCCATAATAAAGGTTTTTCCCACTAAAAAAAAAAAAAAAAAAAAAAAGAAATCTATTGCTCACAGTTCCGGAGGCCAGGACGATCAAGATCAAGGTGCTGGTGGGTTTGGTATCTGAGGAGGGCTGGCTGTCTCCTTAAGAGATGGTGCGTCTGTGTGTCCGCCCATAGCAGAGGGGCTGATGAGCTCCTTTGGGCCTTTTTGTTTTTATAAGGACACTAATCCGATGTAGGAGGCCGGAGGCTTCATGGGCTAATCACCTCTTGAAGGCTCCACTTCCTAGAACTGTGACATTGGAGATCTGGGGGAACCCAAACATGCAGCCCACAGCCAGGCCCTACCAGTCCCCTAATGCTCTTCTCCTTTTATGGCCCCTGAACTAGAGTTCAAAGAATCAAGCCTTTAAGGGGCAGAGGCTATTGTGCCCGATGTTCTCAGCCACGGTGGCACTTTGGAGTTCCCCGAAACAGGCCTGACAGAAGACTCGTGCCCGGGGCCACATACAACTGAATTTGAATTTTTGAATTTTGGGGGTGACCTAAAGTCTCGCCCTGGGTGACTGTCATACTATACACCAGGCTCCCTCTCGTCCTTTTTAATCAATCAAGCACCACGTTCCGCTCCTCAACACACACTCTTTTGTGGACATCAGAGAATTTGCAAGAGCAAGCAGCACCGGCGTTTCAGTGGTTGAAAGACAAAGATGTATTTGACATTCACACCAAGTCCACCGAGGGCCTGGCGTCTCCCCAGGGCAGCTGCCCTCCATATGGCACTCAGTGTCCCCGGGACTCTCGCCCTGCCCAAATTACAGGCCTTACACAGGCCACTTCCACCTACAACCTGTTGAGTAGCCAAACAGGAATCAGGTGTCCCCACATAATAAGCCTGCAGGTGGCCGGTGTAATATTTTCCTGTGTCCCAGAGGCAACCCGGCTATGGGTCGGCACTGGTGACATCAACCGCCCGCTCCATGCCACCCTGCTGCGCTGGCGACTCCCTGCTCTCTGCACTGAGCCCCCTGGCCTAGCCACCGACCGTCCTCATTATCTGTCATTGTATTTGGCACTTACAGTTGGTTCATTAAGACTTTTCCCAGTCTTTTCATTTTCTCTCTGGTGAATAATTTAATCTCCTGGACTTTGGGCAAAGCAGCAAGAGGAGCTCCTGTCGTAGCCAACGGAGGAGAATTTAGCAGAAAAGTCGGAGGGGCGGGACCCCTGAGGACGAGGTGGTGACCTCTGAGCATTGGGTGTTGCCAGGGCAGGGAGCTGGCCCTGGGACTTTGAAAACATTGTTTTCAAAAGTTCCTCGTCCTGAGAAAATTGGAGTCAAAAATTGAACTCCAGTGAGGAGAGCTGGGCCTCTCGGCAGGAGAAGGGTGACCTTGGAGCTGCTAATCACCTTAATGAGGGGATGAGAAGTATTGAAAAGGACCACAGTGTGCATGGGAGCCCAGGTCTTGGAAGGACTTGTACAAGAGACAGAAGCGTTGCCTCCTCTGAGCTCCCACCGTACCCTGAGCAGGCAGGGTCCCTGCCATCCACACAGTATTATAACTTCTTGCTGATACGGTGACTTATTTCATTTTAAAGATATATAACACTTACTATGTACCAGGCAATGTGTGCTGAATTAGTCCATTTGGTGTTGCTGTAACACAATCCCTGAGACTGGGTACTTTATACACAAAGCACTTAGCTCACGGTTTTGAAGGCTGAAGGCCCAAGAACGAGTGGTCCCATTTGTAGTGCAGCCTCTAATGAGAGGCCCCAGCCCCACCACTGTCACAACAAGACAGAGAAGCAGAAAGGAAAACATCTGCGTGAAGAAGGGACCACACACACGCTATGGCCTTGCTTTATCACAGCCCACGCTGGCTTGAGAGGACCACCCATGCCTCAGACCAGAATTGGTCCCTTCCAAAGGTGGTGTCCCCATGACCTTACCATCTCCCACCAGGCTCCACCTCTTAAAGTCTCCACCTCAATACTGCCACCCAGGGACCACGCTTCCAGCTCATGAATTTTCGGGGGACACCCTCAAACCGCATCCAAGCCATAGCCTCCACTTACTCTCATTATAGCCCCTTGCGGTCCCTCTCTCCCTCTGTGGAGGGGAGGTCCAGGTGCAGGAACGTGTTCAAGGTCATCCCTAGGGAGGGGCAGAGCTCCAGCTGTTTCATGACAGGGTCACATTTGCATGTGCCCAGTAACTACCCACAGCTCACTCACTCACAGGAAGTGTCCAAGGGCCTCCAGATGATGGAGTCTGTCTGCTTCCTTCTGAAGCTTCACTGCCTGGTTCAGCTCCCAGTTCTACCATTTACTGGCAAAGCAGATTATTCACCTGTCTGCACCTGGTTTTTCACCTGTCAGGTGATGTTGCTAAGGGGACTCACAGGGTTGTGGTGACGACCAATTAATCAATCTGTGTAGGGTTCAGCACAATACCCAGCACAGAGGAAAAACTCAAAACGTCTTGCGTTCACAGTCTGTGTTCTAGCCCACAGAGCACAAGCCTGTGGAGATTCACACTTCTCACTCCTGACACGGCCTAGAGTGTGTTAGGCAGAGAACCCTAAGTATTGCCCTAGAAGAGGGATTGTTATTTATGTTAACACTCCTTGACAAAATTCAGCCTCTTAAAACAACACTCTTTCCTTTCCCACAGTCCCCGGGGGTCAGAAGTCCAGGAAGAGCCCAGCTGGGTCCTCTGCTGGAGGGATGGATCTGCCACCAAGATGGCAGCCAGGCTGGGGTCTCATCTGAAGCTCTGCCCAACGGGATCTGCTCCTGAGCTCCCCGCCCCGTGCTCCTTGGCAGGATTCAGTTCTTCCGTGGTTGTCAGGCTGACAGTGCCCATTCCTCACTGGACACTGGCTGGGGGTGGCCCTTGGCCTCTTGCCATGGGGATCTCTCCAGCTCACTCCACTGGAGCACGTGGAGGTCAAGGTCGGTAACGCAGCCACAGAAGCATGATCCTGTCCCTTGGCCATTTCCTACTGGTTAGAGACAAGCCATTCACCAGGCCCTGCTCACCCGGAAGGGGAGGGGAATCACACAGGACATCGACAGCAAGAAGCAGGAGGCAGGGGTTGGTGGCCGAAGCTGCCCACCACCACCACCACGTTCAGACACGTTTGTTGACCTAACTCAGGAGGCAGCTCTGCTTCCGATGAGAGCGGGCACAGGGGACAGGCTGCTGCTCAGGGTTCTGCCTCTAGGACCTTGGTTTCCGCTCCCATAAAATGAGCAGACTAGATGAGGGGAGGCCTAAGGTGCCCCCCATCCAACGCTTGAGAGTTCTAGCTCCTTTGAATTTCACAGATCTTAATTCAATTAAGCTGATGAGGCTCCATTTCTCTGCACTCTTGGAAAGCAGCCAGACACAGGATCATGTCAGTCCCTTCCGGGTTCCCAGATGGATGGGGGTGATGATGGCTAGACTCTGCCTCTCTCCCCAGCAGCCCCGGTGGAAGGGGGGGGCGGCGGGGCAAGCAGAGTCCTCCGGAAAGGGAAGGGCCCAGGTGGGTTTCCATTTGCCATTCTCCCACCTTCTCACCCTGAATCACTCCAGAGGCTAAATCAGAGCCGGGTACAGGCAGCCAGGCGGGCTGGCATCAAACCCTCTGCGAGATGAAAGGCCCTTCCGCGGTGCAGAATTCAGAGCAGCAAGCCCTGCGTGCAGCATGTGATTAGAATAAATGTGTGTCCCCGAGGCGAACATGGCTCCGCGGCCGCGCAGGCTCCCGCCGTTCCCCTTGGAATCCCTCTCATCTCCTGTCCCACCACTCATTTCCTTGCTATTGACAGCTCAGCAGAAGCCCACCCACGGGCCTGCCTCTCAGACAGCAGCCTCTTCCCCCGTGGAGAGAATGACTCAGGAGTTGAGGCTGCCGAGAAGCCAGGTGGAGGACTGGGGGTCCCGGCTGGGTCCCCAACTTGTGGCAGGGCCCTGAAAGAAGCCCTTCCTGGGCTGGGCTCAGCTCCTCACTTCTCACGGGTGAAGATGGCTTAGGCGACTCCACAGAGACTCCTTGCTCCTATATCCCAGGTGCTGACATTTTCCTAGAGGAGGTGGCCAACATGTTTTCCCTCACTGGAGGAGTAGGATGGTTTGTCTGTACGGAGCAGCTATGGACTGAAGGAGAGCATCTGCTCAGAAACTTAAAACTTGACCCCCAGGGAAACAGTATTAATAGAGGTGGGGCCTCCAGGAGGTGATTGATTCTGGAAGGCTATTGGGACTGGGTGCCCAGTTTTATAATGAATAGGCTGGGCACGGTGGCACACACACGCCTGTAATCCCAGCAGCTCTGGAGGCTGAGGCAGGAGGATTGTGAGTCCCAAGCCAGCCTCAGCAAAAAAACGAGGCATCAAGCAACTCAGTGAGACCCTGTGTCTAAATAAAATGCAAAATGAGGCTGGGGATGTGGCTCAGTGGTTGAGTGCCCCTGAGTCCAATCCTGGTACCCCAAAATAAAAACAAAAAAAAGGTTGAATAGAGGAAACTCACCTCTTTGTGCTCCTTTCACCCGCTCTGCTGTGCGAGGGTACGACCTTCATCCCTCTAGAGGATGCATTGGCAAGGGGCCATCTTAGAAGCAGAGGGCAGATTTGCCCAGACAACTGATCCTCCTGGCTCCTTGATCTTAGACTTCCCAGACTCCAGAACTGTAAGAAATAAAGTTTTGTTCTTTAAAAATTATTCAGCCTTCAATATTTTACTCTAGCAGTTACAAATGGTCTAAGACAGGGAGGGAACCCCCAGTAAAAGGTGTCTTCCACTTAATAAAAAATCATAAACATTGGGAGTTTCATGGTCAAGGCAGTGATTCAGCAATGCCACTTCCTTGTCTCTTTTTGCTGACAACTCCGGTAAGAGATATACCCCCAGGGGGCTAAGATGGCTGCCACAGCTCAAGGCATCACATCCTCACACCACAGGGTCAAGCACAGGAAGGAGGCATGACAAGCACTGCTTATTGCTGCTATCTTCTCGCAGGGGAAGGTCTTTCCCAAACACTCCCCCTCTCACATCTTATTTGGGTTGAATTGTGTACCCCAAAATGAAAGGTGAAGGACTTCGGCTGTGCTACTTTGTCATGGCGGCCGTAGGAAACTAATCCATGCCCTATCAGCTAGAACTGAGCCCCACGTCCACCACTGCTGCTACAGGGCCCAGTGGTAAAGAGGAGATGGCATTTCCAATGTTTCATCCTGTGAGACTGAGCTCATTACTTCCAGAACAAACATGTTCTGCAGACTACAAGGTCACCGAGCCCAACACATACCCTTAAAGTATGACAAAATCTGGGCTCGGGGAGAAGACTCTGCTCCAGCTCCTTCCCAGCCCCCACCCTGTGATGGAGCACTGCTCAGTGCCTATGAGTGGCTGCTGCATGTGACAGTTCCTTTCTGTCATTGGTCCATGCTGTGCGGTCTGGTTTGAATGGGTCCCCCCAAAACTCCTGACTTGGAAACTTAACCCCCAGATTCCTGTGTTACTGATATTTGGAATTGGGGCCTTTGGAGGTGATGAGGATTAGATGACGTCATAACAGTAGGGTCCCTATGATGGCATTAGTGGCTTTAGAAGAAGAGAAAGAAAAATGGAGCTAGCACTGGTACTTTCTTGTCATTTGATGCCCTCTGCCACACTGTGATATAGTGCCAATCCCTCAACAGAAGCAGAGCAGGCTCCAGAACCAAGAACCAAATAAACTCCTCCTCTTTACAAATTACCCTACCTCAAGCATTTTGTTATAACAAAAAGAAAATAATCTGGGCACAGGAGTGGATACCTGTAATCCCAGTGACTCAGGAGGCTGAGGCAGGAGGATTGCAAGTCTAAGGTCAGCCTCAGCAATTTAGCAAGGCCCTAAGCAACTTAGTAAGACCCTATATTATTTATTTATAATAAATAAATAAATAAATAGGGCTTAAGATGTAGCTCGGTGGTAGAGCGCCCATGGGTTCAATCCCAGTACCAATAAATAAATAAATGGCAATTGAAAATAGACTGACCTTGCATGGTTCTGACGTCTGCAGGTTGGAGCCCATTGATGAGGAATGGTTGACGAGGGGCAAAGTAGGAAGCGAGCATTTTTAGAGCATTTCATCAGACCCCACAGGAGGCTGGTTGAGCGGCGGGGCCCAGGTACAACTCGACTGGGTGGGAAATGGGGCTTGGAAGAACAGCCTCCCTGTGGCTTCCTTAGAGGCCAGGGTCTACGTTGGGCAGAGGCTGAAAATAGGGAGGAGCAAAAACAAAAGATCAGGGTGTCTTAGGAGGCAGCCACAGCAGGTCTGGGCTCCAGCAGGCACGCTCATGAGTCCTGGGCTGGAGCCGAGGCCTCCTCTCCAAGACCCAGACAAACAGGGGCATCCCCCTGCAGCCATGCCTTCGAGGAGGCCTGGCAAGCGCCACTCACTCAAGGCAGCTCCTGTTCCCCAAAACGCTCTGCACTTTCAACACCAGGTACCCCTACCCATGCGGTTGTCCAAGCTACAGCTAAAGGAGCCATCCTTAACCCCGCCCCCTGCCCCTTCTTCATCAATAACCAATATTTCTTCCTAAACACTCCTCGAATCCACCCACCTCCCCCACCTGCAGGCCCCGCCTCCGCTTCCCACCTCCCTTCCTCCCCGCCAGCAACTTGATTTGCTGGTGTGATTCCCTTCTAACCAGAGTGCTTCCCAAGAGCAGGGGCTGGTCTGCCGGCCTGTGGTGACGCCCCCCAAACAGCACCTGGTCTCCTTAAGTATCCAGTCCACACATCAGTGGGTGAACGCCTGCATGAATCAGCCTCACGCCCAAATTTCTTGCCTGCCCTTCCAACTTCCCATTAAGTCCACCTTCTCTTCCTCAGTCTTTCAAACTTTCCTGCTTCAAGAAAACAATCCTGGCTGCTCTGCCTACCGCTGCAGTTTCCCCCACTTCTTTGCATTATTAAGTAGGTACAGACAGTGTGGGGTCGACCCCACAGAGGTTTCTGCCTCCTGGCTTCCCATTTCCATCTCCTGGGTAGGTCATCATGTCCCCAGATGACCACAGGGGATGGAAGGGTGACAAGGCACAAGATTCACCAAGAGCCTGGCCATGGAATCAAGCTGGGGTATGATTGGGGTCCCCCTAGAGAACTTCCTGGGGTGTCCTGGGCGTGGGTGAGGAGGAAGGCCCTGAGTCATCTTCCCTCCCTGTGCCTGGGCCCTGGATTCTGCCCTGCAGCTCAGGCCTGCTGGAGTGGAAGTGTCTAGAGAAGACCCCTGGCCCTGCTCCCAGGTGTGGGCTGGGTGGAGGGTCACGCCTGGGCTGGCAGCCTGGCAGGGGAGCGGGGAGGCACAGGCACTGGCCCAGGACAAGTGCTGTGGTCTGAGCTGCGGTCTGCCCCTGTCTGCCTGAGCCCCTGCATCACATTTCAATCAGCCTGGAGGGTGGGCACAGCAGCAGGCTGCAGGGGGCAGAGCCGCCAGCCAGGCTTCCCAGGCCCTGTGAGCTGGCTGCAAATGAACACAGGGGCAATTCCCGGGATGGCTTGCTCCTCCTATGCTGCAGAATATGTTCCTAGAGCCCGGTTAAGACGCCACAGCAGGTGGGGCAAGGTGCGGGGGCAGTGAGACACTTGGAAAAACATTCAGGGTCCAAAGACTCTAGAGGTCCTCTTTTGCATCCCTCTTTGAAGTTCAACTTCACAACATGCCGTCCAGAGAGATACTTTTGCCTCAAGGTGATAACGGGACATCTCACAGGGTGAAGTGCAGGGCAGCATGTCTCAGGTAGAGGAGGGGCTGCACGGAGAGGAATCCAAACCAGAGCAGGGGCAGCAGGGACTCCCTGTGCCAGCCGGAAGTTGATGGTGGAGTTCTGGATCTCCACGCGGAGTGGTAGGAAAGCCTCTGACAGAGGGAATTCTGAACCAAGGGTGGGGGGCGGGGAGCAAGGGGAAGGGAACGCAAGGTCAGCGCCTGGGATGTGACAAGGAACTCCCACCCCTTACTGAGCGTGGCTCGCACCAAGTACAGTGTCAGGCACTTGTACTCACTGAGTCATTGAATCCTTAAAATAACCCTTAGAAGTAGCAACAATTGCCCTCGTTTTACAAGAGAGAAGAACCAAGGCTCAGAGAGGTAAAAGGAATTTGTAGGGCCACACAACCAGGTGAGGGGCCCAGGTAGGACTGGAAACCAGGTCTGCTGGCCTCCCAAACCCATCACCTTTGCAGGACTTCCAGGCCCTGTCACAGAGCCACCACCAGGGGGATGTGCCAGGACGAGGCTTGGGCCACAGCTTCCTGGTGGCCTGCAGAGGGACAGCTCTAGAGTGGTTGAGCCAGTGGAGGGCTCCCGAGGGTCTAGGTCCACCTGTCCAGAGCATTTGCTGGGGGCACCCGGGGTCCGAACCGACTTACCTCATGCTTTCCCAGTTATTGACAGGGAATGGGTTCAGTGTCCCCTCTGTCCCTGTAGCAACACAGTAAGCAAGTTTTTGTGCACATCCACTGTCTAAGCATCAACACTCCAGCTGGCCTCTCCAGCATCCCCCTGCCTCTGATTCACCTTCCATGCAAACTCACTCCAAGGCAAAGCTGTTCCTGCAACTGCTCTTACAACCCACTCTTGCAGACCGCGTTTGCCTGGGGGACCAAGTCCGCATTCCTTAATTTGGATCCCGGCCTTGCCCTAGCTGGCCTCTCCATCGTCCACACTCAGGAGCATGGAGGCCGGTACCAGCCTGGGTGTGTCTCCATCTCCATAGGTTCCTGTCCCGCTCCTGCCCTGCTCCCTCTGCCTGGCTCGACTTCCCTGTACCGGATCTCTTTCCCTTAGTAAAATATCATCTTTCCTGCTCCATTCAAATGTCATGTGCTCTGGGAAGTCATGTGCTCCATGCTCACCCTCCCGAGTGCAGACTCCCATGTCAGGGGTGGGGATGGCCATAATAAAGTAATGAAGGCCAGCACCAGGGACAGCATGCACTGTGCTTTTCAATGACCTCTTTATCCCCTGCACACACCCAAGAAGGGGATGCCCTTACTGTGCCCATTTTGTAGGTAGAAAGTGGAGGACCAGCCAGACATGGTGGCACATGCCTATATTCTCCGTAGCTGGGGAGGCTGAGGCAGAAGGATCATAAGTTCAAGGCCAGACTCAGCAATTTAGCAAGACCTTAAGCAACTCGGCGAGACCCTGTCTCTAAATAAAATACAAAATAGGGCTGAGGACGGGTCTCAGTGATTGAATGGAAGTGTCCAGAGAAGACCTCTGGTTCTGCTCCCAGGTGTGGGCTGGGTGGAGGGTCACGCCTGGGCAGGCAGCCTGGCAGGGGAGCAGGTAGACACAGGCACTGGCCCAGGACAAGTGCTGTGGTCTGAGCTGCGATCTGCCCCCGTCTGCCTGAGCCCCTGCATCACATTTCAATCAGCCTGGAGGGTGGGCACAGCAGCCCCTGGTACCAATACCTGGTACCAAAAAATAAAAATAAAGAAAGTAGAAGCCCAGGGAGGTTGAGTAGCTGGCCCGTGATCACACAGCTAGTCCGTGGAGAGGAGCGAGGATCCAACAGCGGCCAGGCGGTTCCACAGCCGGTGCCCTTCGTCTGGGCCCGTTCCACACTCATGAAGGCATCTCCGCACACAGGCACCGCTAGAGGAGCAGTGCCACCCTGGCCTCCGAGGCAGGGACTCCTCTGCCTCCCTGAGCTTGCTCAAGCTCCTGGAGAGCAGGGCCCGCCTGGGGAACCTCCGTCTCGTGTCTGGCAGCGAGGACAGGGATGAGCAGGGCATGTGTTGAAAAGAGCAAACGAGTGATGTGTGACGATTATTTAGAGCATCATCCTATCTGAGTCACCACGGGAGAGTGATTAAGGCCCCCCAAATGACCCAGTTGTGAGATGAGCCACTTCCCTGCTGTCTCCCCGGCAGAGAAGTGGAAAAGAGGCCAGGGAAAGAACCCTCCCTAGGTGTGACCGCACGGGAGGCCGCCCTCCACCCTGGCCCTGCACTCTCCCTTGGTCCAGGGGTCCAGGGCAGGGGCAGGGCACCCCCTTCCCTTCTCCCAGATACCTACATCCCAGGTAATAGTCCAGGGCTCCAGGGTCTGGGGCCTCACCTGGTGCACGGGGCACACCTGTCTGCCCCTCCTCTCACCACAGACTGGAAGGGCTATGGAGAGGGAGGGGGAACAGGGACCTACAGAAGCTGGGAAGGAGAAAGTGATGGGTGACAGTGTCATTGGTCCCTGAGATTCATCTTGTTCTATCCTGAGCCCATCATCCCACACCCATGCCTCCCCCACACAGCCCTCCCCCACATAGCCCTCCCCCCACAGCCCTCCCACACACAGCCCTCCCCACACAGCCCTCCC